CCCCGGGCCGAAGCGGGCTGAAGGAGATGTCCGCACGATTGGAAACGCCGCCGAAAATCGCACCCGTGGGATCGGTGTCGGCGTCGTGCGCAGGCATCCCACTAGAGCGAGCGGGCTCCTTGCTGTGCCCCCCTCCTTTTGCAGCCAGAGTTAGAAGGACGGGGAGCGACGCCCGAGTCGCCATCTTGGGAGAGGCGCCCGAGCCGCCATCTTGGGAGTGGCGCCCGAGCCGCCATCTTGGGAGAGGCACCCGAGCCGTCATCTTGGGAGAGGCGCCCGAGCCGCCATCTTGGGAGAGGCAGGCGCGCAGTACCGCGCTCTGCCCACAGGGCGGCGCTTGGGAGACAGGCAAGGGATGGAATCAAGGAGTGTCCCAATCCTTGAGGAAATCCCCCGGAATGAACGCCCCAAAAAACCCCGACCGGAACCGAGAAACCTCCTGCCTCTGTATGAGTGCAAAGGGTGTGCAAGGAGTGTGCAAATAGTGTGCATTAGCAACCGATCGCCGAGCTAATCGATCAGCAGTCGCGATCAATCGATCGCCGATATAATCGATCAGCAGTCGCGATCAATCGATCGCCGAGCTAATCGATCGGCAGGCATTAGCCATCGATCACCGATCTGATTTTTTTTTTCCTCCATTTTTCTTGGATTTTTCCCCATTCCTCACTGATTTTTTCCCCCATTTCTCACTGATTTTTTTCCCCCATTTTTCATGGATTTTTTCCCGATTTCCCCCCCCCGTTTCTCCCTGATTTTTCCCCCGATTTCTCAATGGTTTTTTTTTCCCCATTTCTCCATGATTTTTCCCCCATTTCTCACTGATATTTTCCCCCATTTTTCAGGGATTTTTTTCCCCATTTCTCACTGATTTTTTCCCCCATTCTTCATGGAGTTTTCCCCCCGTTTTTCACTGATTTTTCCCCATTTCTCACTGATTTTTTCCCCATTTTCCCCCATTTCTCACAGTTTTTTCCCCCCATTTTTCATGGATTTTTTCCAGATTTATCCCCATTTCCCACTGATTTTTCCCCATTTTTCATAGATTTTTCCCCCCGTTTCTTACTTATGTTTTTCCCCGATTTCTCATTGATTTTTCCCCCCATTTTGCACTGCTTTTTTACCCATTTCTCACTGATTTTTTCCCCCATTTTTCACTGGTTTTTTCCCCATTTCTCAATTAATTTTTCCCCACTTTTCCCAGTTTCTCACTGATTTGTTCCCCCATTTTTCATGGATTTTTTTTTTTCCCCCCCATTTCTCACTGATTTTTTTTCCCCATTCTTCATAGATTCCCCCCCGTTTTTCACTGATTTTTCTCCATTTCTCACTGATTTTCCCACCATTTTTCATGTATTTTTTTCCCATTTCTCACTGATGTTTTACCCCATTCTTATTACCATTCTCATAGCTCTATTTTATATTTATACATATTCTTAGATTTGCATTATTTCTGTTAGGTATTTCATAGATATTTGCTACTTATATTTCATTATATTTTACATGTATACCAATCTATTTCTATTCTTTATATTTTATTTTTATATTAGCTATAAGAACCTTGCCTCTACCCAAATAAAAAGCATTTAAACATTCCTTTTAGACTATATTTAGGTATTTTTTATGGTTCTGTTTTTCATGCATTCTACACCCACCCCTCCCTCTCAATGTTCTGGCACCCACCATGACCCCCCCCCCCCCCCCAATGTTCTGGCCCCCCCCATGCCCCCCCCCCCCATGCCCCACAGCACAAGGAAAAAAACGATCTAATTTTCAGAAGACAAGTGAGAACAGACTGCAAAAGAACTGTCTCAAGGGTACAGAAGTTTCCTAGAACTCTCCAGGAGCAGGGAAAGAAGAGAAACCACACAAACTTTCAATGCAAGACTCTAAAACCAGCAAGAGATTTATTCTTGTGTATTAAATGTTAAAAATCACATGCATAATTATAGAATATTTTATAGTTAAAAAAATATTTCAAAAATCAACCCTGACAGTTTACCTGCAACTGCTATAAAATATCTATTTATATATATATATATATATATATATATAAACACGATGATTTTCTGTACTCAAAAAACACTGGACAAGGATGCAACCATCCAGGTAATGCTGAATGAACTGATGCCCTGCATCGGACAGTCTTGTCAAACTCCTGCAGGTGGAACTGAGCTCGCTCTGGCCAGTTCAGACACGCTCGTCTCACTGCAATCCAAATGACAGCTGTGGAAACGAGTGGACGAAAATCGTATTTTTTACACTACAGCCAAGACCTGTGAAGGGCCACAGTAAAATATGCTGCAAAAGAGCCCGTGGTACAAGATATGCAGCCTCCTGGGCTGTCTCCTCAGACATGCTGGTGGAATATTCTGCATCACTGGCCAAGGGCACAGCGTGCCTGGCTCCTGTGAGCAACGTCACGAACGTCAGCACCGCAACGCGTTTTATTTCACCAGGCACTTAAGGTTTAAGACCTGTTTTAGCTCCTAAGGGACGCAGCCAACAAAGATGTTTGTGACAACTGCCAAGGAACAGACATAAAACTGCCACGCTGCTGGCTTTAGGGGGCAGAGTCGCTGCTGTTCTGGAGGACGGCCCCATATGGGTCACTGTTCAGGCGCTTGTAGACAAAGTGGAAGACCTGCGGCTGCGGGCGGCTGTGCAGCTCCGCCTTGATCTTCTGAGGGTACGTATCCTCCGTCAGTTGTTGCCAGGTGTCGTCAACAAAAAGAAACAGCCTGTATTCTTCTGGGTTTGCCACTTTAAATTTCTCGGCGCAAAGCTGACATACGTCTTCGGTAGTGATATACGGCCTCACTAGCAAAGTCTTGCCCGTACAGCCACTGGTGACTTCCTGGAATGCAACACGAAGGTAGTTCTGTGGAACAAGAAAGCAGACATCAGGAACTCCAAAAACCCTCAGCCCATGAAAACTGAAAAGTCAGCAACAAAAAGCAAACCTCTCCCCCTCCCCACCTCCAGCTGGTGATTCCTGGACATTATGGCTGTCCCGTGAGCTGCAGCAGCCTGGTGTCTAAGCCTGGCCTAACCCAGCTTCACAAGACAGCATTTCTTTGTTTTTACAGGGATCCAGAAAGAAAATGTACTCTGCAGCATTCGAGTAAATGCCCGTGACCTTGAGGCTAAAGCTGGATCTTTTCTCCTGTAGGAACGGACACAGGCCCACAGCTCTGCCAACACGGATACTTTCTGAACAGGCCCCACAGGGAAATGCAGTTTCACCTGCTTCCTGCCTGTTTTGCTCTTGGGGTGATTTTATGACAATGCTGTATCCCCCTATTGTTTGCTTTATGCCCAGAAATGGGTCCTGGAGCTTTGAGCTGGGTCCAGGGGAGCTCTGGCACAGGTTTTGTTCAGGCACTGGCTCCCCCCGCTCAAGTGGCGCAGAGGGACTCACGTTTCTGCTTTTGGCTACCTTGGTTCTTGTTAGCTGAGGCAAGAAGGTGTCCTGGAACTGCAGCAGCAATCCTCTGGTGGCTTCTGTGGCTCCCTCAGCAACTGCTGGGCCCAGCTTTGGTCCAGAACCAGACCACTGGTGGGAGCCAGAGGCTCCAGACCTCGGGGGAAGTTGGGCCAGCTAGAGAGGGAGCCCTAACTAAGCCCAGCAGCTTTCTCTGCAGCGAGGAGCTCCAACACCTAACACTTACTCATTTCTTCCCATTGGCCTGTGGGCACTTTGTTTGTTACAGAAACGTTTTTCTTCACTTTCATCCAAGAAATCCCTTTTGTATTGGTGGGAAGGGAGTGCTGAAACCCATTTTCTTTAGAGGAAACATTCATTCCAGACCATTTTCTTCTAAAACTGTCTCTAAACTAGAGGCAGTTGTAAAAAAATTGCTGGAATTAAAGACTAAAATGCAGTAAGATTGAAGGAGATAGATAGAAAAAATTACAGTGAGAAAGAGCTGTTTATTGACTGAGCTGGCACCCATGGTTCGTATGCTGAATAAATTAAGCATGTGAAATCCCAGTGGTCGAAGATTACATTTCACAGAAACGAACTGTTAAAAGTTAGGACTGAGAAGAACCTTCCAATGACTCAAGTTCCAAAGAACACTCTTGTCTAATCAAGTATTTCTTGACACCATGCAGACTGAACGCTAAAGCTCTGCAATAGATTTTAAAAACTTAGAACTGAACCTGACTGATTAGAACTAATCCAGTTCTGTTACCTGGTTTGAGGAACTTGTAGAAAAAACCCAGCCCCAGATAAGGCAGAACACGCTACATTTAATTTTTAAGGTAGCTACTACACACAAGACCTGCTTTAAAATGCAGAAGCTTTTAGATGGACAGGACTGCTGGAAGGAAAGGCTGACTTTTTTTACAGATGCCTGTAACATATAGACTAAGTATCAAAATTATTTCCATAGTATCAAAAAGCTATATTTCATCATCATCAAAGTACTGGAGGTTCTGCTTTTTCATCCATTTGGGGAAGGGGGAAAAGACAGCCTCCAGGGCCCAAGAGCCAGCAAGGCTATGAGACTGCAGCACAGAAATGCAGTGACCACACCCTGCTCCCCTGGGAGAAAGATGAGTGGAGCTGCAGGTGTGTTCCGTGCTGGTTGGAGGCAAGGTGCTCCATTTCAGGACTGCAAGACTCAGAGAGAGAGGAGAGAGCAAACAGCCATCCTGAGCAGACAGCAAAATGCTTGCATTTGTGCCAAGCACATGCTGGGGGTGGTGGGATCCACTGACTCGAGGCTCTCTTTTGGCAGAGGCAACAGCAGGAGAAGCACTGGACACACCCGGTGACAGCTCTTCCTGCATCCAAGTGAGCACTGAGCCTGCATGGAGTTCATTTGCAGAGAAAGACAAGATGGAGCCTCCTACAAGATCCTGCAGGAACAATGTTCTGTCATTCCCTCACCCAGCAGAAATACAAGGTGCTGAAAGTGCAGAGTTTTGCAGAAAGACCCAAGACTCCAGCTGCTGGAATCTGACACCTAAGTACAGGTCAGGAGAACAGAACATGGATCCCAGGGAGATGCACGGGCTTTGCAACAGGAACTGCTCGTCATCACTTCTCCTCTTCCCAACTGCAGACAGCTGAACTCCAAGGAGTAAGTCCTCTCTTCCCAATCCCTACACTCTCCCTCTTTGAGCCCACAGACTGCTGCACCTGAACAGTCAGTCCAAAGCAGAAGGAAGAGATGCAGGCCTGGCTTCAGAAGACGAAGTGATAACCACTGCTTTGTTATTCTCCACTTGAAGGTACTGCCCTACTCTGGAAGAGCAGTACAAAACACAGGGGACAAAAGAAAAAAAAACACCATAAAACACAAACAAACGTGAGGACATCCACATTACAGAACTCTGCTGCCTGCTTAAGCTTCAAAACTGTCAGGGAACATTTCTCCCACCTCTCCTTTCTGCTACCTGCTTTATGTCACCAGTGGCTGTTGGAGAGCTGGGCTGATTTACACCCCTGGAAATCTGCATTTGATCTTTTGAACAATGAAGAGTGCAAAAAAGCTGAATTTAGGATGCAATGCAGTTTGTCCTTGCTTTACAGTACTTAAAAGGGAAGGTAAGAAAGCTCTATTCTTTAGTGATTTCTTCAGACCAGCATAATGAAACCGTTTGATAAAAAGTGCAAAGACTTCAAGACCGAGGCAAATTTGCCAGCTGTAATCTCAGCACTGTTTCATTCCACTTGTGGCCCCGAGGGAATTTGCTAGGAATCATACCTCTCAAATGGGAATTTCCAACAATACCATCATCCCATTTTCTATTTCAGGCCTAAGCTTTACCTGAAAATCATCGACTGAAGGTATTGTCCTGTTTGTTGTCCTCCTCTTGTGCCACTGCCGGAGAGTATCTCTGGCTTCTGAGCTGAGCAGCTGGGCAGCTTGCTCTTCCTGGAAGTTCTTGATCAGTGAAAGTGCTCCATAAGCACTTGTCAAGTAGTAGCCTCCTGTGAAGGACAGCAAGGGAAGAACTTCTCAGAGTGGTCCCAGTCACGAGTACAGGCAGTTTTCTTTGAGGTATGTAAATAAACACAGAGAGGCACCCAGCCACGCACACAGATAGGAAAGTTGCCAGAATATTTACACACAAAAGGAAAACCCTCCCTGGGTTCTCAGCTGCTCAGACACATGCAGGGGTTGCATGTGCTCCGAATTACAGAGTGGTGCCCATGGTTGGGTCCTCTCATGCTGAGCAAAGTCATTTCCTTAAAGGATTCCTGTCACTCTTTTAGCCTGAGTGTTTACCCTCCACTCTTGGAACACCAGTGTTTAGGTTTCTTCCCAAGCTTCACAGGTGGATGAAATAAATAAGGCTGTTGAAACAAAGTAAAAAACAATCTAACACAGTTCATCACCTTGAAAGCAACCACCCTCAGTGACAATAAAGCAACAAGTGAGTGTGAGATTTGTACTCTGGAATCATCCCAAAGAATTGCCTTGGTTTCTAAAACCACTACTGATCTGTCACCTTCTTAGCATTCCCCAGAAGGTCCAACTAGCTCAGGAGATGGTGTGTAAAGCCCGGCACACTCCCCCTTTATTACGTGAGTAAAGAACAAATGAACTCCACAACAGAGTTGCCAATGTACAAAAGAAGCTGCAGGTCACAAAGTAAAAGAGTCTCAACAGGAGGTAACAGTCCAGGGCAACCAAGAGAAACAAAAGACATGCAAGTCTGGCTTTGCAAACCTCACTATTTAGGTAGGAGTGTTCAGCTAAGAGACAGACTTCCTTTGCTGCATTCAAAGCAACAAGACTTAACAGTTCAGTAAACCTTTCTGCTTTTCAAGCATGTTAATGATCCCCAGCTTCACATTTCAAGTATTTTCCATGCTAAGATTCCTAACAATGCAATCAAGGATGCTCTGTCCCCCAAGCAAGGAACAGACTAGTGCCAAATTGGAGGAATTGTGGCATGAATTCTCCCAGGCATACTGGCATGCTAGAGGATATGGTAATTGCAGAGAGCCAGGATATAGCATGAACAGGAAACACATACATGTACCTAAACACACAGCTAAGCTTGGCTCCAAGAACCTTTAAACTTCCTCACAGAGCTTTGACATTCTGGGGCCTACCTGGGCCCTGCAGAAAACTTCTTTGTTAAAAATGCTACCATGGAAACAGCAAGGAGGCAGATTTCCTTGTCTCTAGCAGACTTTAGCCCTCATTCAAGAAATGCCTCAGGAACCATGTTGCTAGGGCTCATAAAAATACTTAGTGAGAGGCAAATATTGGGAAGAAGCAAAGATCACTAAAAGGGGGCAATATTCTCAAAAGCACTTCTGCAAAGGTGCAAAGAAGTCCCCCAGAAGTTTTCACAAAGCACCAAACCCAAGCCTCATGATGTGCCTCACAACTGGCTGAGTGCTGCTGCTCCATAAATCCTTTCAGGAAAATCTCAGGCACATATGTTTGCCTGCTGAGTCAAAAGGAGTTGGAAACAACAAATTTGCTCACTAAGCAAAAAGTACACAGCAGCAGATTTTCCAGGTGCCTGGGGCCTGTGCTCTGCAAGCTGCACAGCAGTGGAAATGATGATGACATTCTCTTGTTGTCAACAGCACTGTCATTAAGTCTCCCCTTAATAGGACTGGGAACAGCAACAGTGCTGCGGGGAAGAACACCCCCTCACTAGTCCTTGAGGCAGTTCTAGTAAAAAATTAAAACCCAGATTACCTTCTCCATGCAGCAAGGATGGATCCAGCAGCTCCATCATGTATTCAATTTCAGTGTCCAGCTCCAGCATATCACACTGGGCTAGCACGTATGTCAACACAGGCAAGAAGTCATCAGCTCCGTACAGCCTCCCTGGGTGGAAGGGAACACAGGCAGTGAGAGACAAACCACTTTTTTTTTTACCAAAGCACTCCTTTGTGCCTTCTCTACCCAACATGTCTGCATAACTCTAGACCTCCCTGTCAACGTGCAGCAAAGAGAACATCACCTGACACTCACTGCACAGGACACCTGCTCAGTCCTGCACTTCAAGCAAGCACAAATGTTTTGATGCACACCTTGAGGCAGGCAAGGGAAATCCAGAGACTGGGCCCACCCTGGCACCAGCTCAGCTGGTGAACTGGTGAAAAGGCAGCCACGCCAGTCTGGCCTGACTTCCACCTGCACTGCTGCCATTGCCTAAGAGGTGATGAACAGGCATTTTCTTTATACATCTGGGGATTGCATCCAGACACAAATACCGGTCTCTGAGTATGAATCCCGCAGCAAAGAAGCGTGAACATAAAAGCCCTGCTATGCCCTTAGCTCACGACCTGTCATAGCAGTGTGCAAGAGAAAATGTCAGAGTTGTACCTATCAATTCATGCCATCCAGCACAGCATTTCGGACCACTGACTGTTCAGCAGGTCCTGACTGCTCTTTAGCACCATTTCAGTATTTAGGTTTCAAAGGCACTTCTGGATTCTTGCTATGATGCAGAAATAGATGTCATTTCTGTTCCAAAAGCATGAGAGAAAGTATCCAAATGAGACCATTCAGCGGCACAGCAAGCCAAAAATATTGGATTAGAGGCTGCTTTTCTCCACCCATTAAGAAAAAACCCTTCCAGTTGTCATACTGCATACATGCTATTGAATTACAGTAGCTAAATATAGGGTGTTACCTCTATGGATTTGTAATTTGCAGAAAAATATTAATTTAGAATCGGTGTTAAATTCAAGGCTCACAGGACAGCCTTTCTGCCAGGCAACTTCCAAAGTCTACAGTTAAGGAAAGCTGCTCTTTTCCAACTGCTTTGCATTTGCAGGATGCTCTGCCTGGACTAGGTAAAACAATGCCCTGTTCTGCAAAGCTATCGGTGGTGAACTAAGAAGTGGGCTCATGCTGCTTTTGGTGTTGAATTATGCTAAACCCAGTCTGCCTCATCGACCCAAAGTTAAACATCCTGACAGTGAAGTGGCAAACAGAGTAAAGCATCCTTATCTAAAAACACAGAGGCTGACACAGCTGGAACGGAGACATCTGGCTGACAGTCAATACTCCTAAAGTCCAGTCCTGCTTTCCAACAGCAGGATCTTCCAATGTATCCCTTCCTGGGTGTGTGGAGACTCCTCCCCACTTTGGGTGGGAACGCCCCTCAAGTCTCAGTAAGCAGCATCAATCTCTACTCAGTAATTTTATTACAATTCTTTATTATTACTCTTTTGATATAGTGCATTATACTGTATTAGACTATACTAGTAGTTTTTACTTCTACACTGTGCAGTAAATAATTCAGATTAAGATCCGGTTTTGTCTAACAGTTTATCAGAATAAATAATTCATTTTTATATAACTATATCTGGTTTGCCGTCCTTAATCCTGTAGGACCAAGTCGTACAAAGGTTCAATCACACCTCTATAATTCCTTAGATTTAAACCACTGACAAAGTCTGGACTAAGATTGAATCCAGCTGCACCCAGGCTCCTCTCTGAGAAGGAGTTCAGAAAGCACCGTACCTGAGTTATTCTCCATAACAGTGTAAATCAATTTGCAAACTCTCAGCAGCAGCATGACTTTCTTTTCGGGTGAATACATCTTCTGCATAGTCATGAACTTGACTTTAATCTTTTCAACGTCCACAAAGTCTGGAGTGGGAACAAACACGCCCAGTTCCTGAGGATTCCTCTGCCGCACCAGCTGCAGGTTTTCCTTCAGTTGCTTCCAGGAACCATCCGTGGTGTGAAACTCTTTCAACATGGCTTCAATGTGACCCTTCAGTGGCTTCAGAATGCACTTATGCATGGCCTTCTCCAGCACAACATCTGCAACAGCAAAGCACAAATCCAGCTGACTTCCCCCTCTAGAGCAGAGCCAGCATTAACACAACCATTCCCTGAAGAGACCCTGTTGGGCAAAGGCTGCTTTCTAAGGCCCATTTATTACACAAGCTGTGTTTCCAGATGTTGTTAACACGAAAACAAGAGGCAGTGCACAATCTGTATTCCATTGTCATTTCTGGCAATGGGGTAAATAAAAAAAAAACCCCACACCCACACAGACAGACTACGGATAGTTTAAAAAAAAAAAAAAGCTGTGGGTCTATTAAAGTTTTTCTTTTGTTGGTTAGAAGTCTACAAGTTTTATTTTATTTTAACTTTTGACTTTAGCTGCCAAACTTAATGTAAAACACAGTCAAAATCTTAAATTTTGCTCCTTTGGCATTAAAGCCTGTCCTTTTTGCATAGTTCCCACTGGAAACTGTAAGTCAGTGAAGATTTCCTAAAACTTGGCTGGACTTGGGTCAGGATCTTTATGAAGCTGGACAGATTACAGGCTTTAAACTATAAATTAAAACCAAGCTGTGTTTGTCCAGCTTCAGATTTCATCACACAAGCTTATATAGAGCTTTGTCATCAAGTCTGAAGTTCTTTGGCAATAGCGTGCACATGGCACAGTAACCACTAACTTCAGGGCTTATTTTTAATTTTTGTTCTTCTTTAACCCTCATTCTCCATTTTCTAAGTACGGACTGTGTCAACAGATAAAGCTCTTTGCTCAACATTTTCTCTGCAAACCTTTACTTGGAAAGCTAATTTTCTTTCCCAGCATCCTTATGGGAACACAGCTTCCATCTGTTATTAGATGACATGGACCATCTGTACCATGGTGGGGAATGTTCCTGTGCCATCCATCCCTGCAGGAGAGTGGGGCAGGACCAGAGCCTAGATGAGGCAGATGGACCAGAGGAGCACAAGAGAGGCCGTGTCACTGCCAGGTCACACGTTTACCCAAATGAGCAATGGACATTCTCCTTAGTAAAGGTGACTCATTAAAGTTTCATTAAACCTCACCCCGCCCATCCCAGGTTCTTTGCCTGTACTTTTGTTTTGTTTTTTTTTTTTTAGACTACAGCCTCTTTCTTTTCTCCTGACTCTCCCTCCCTTTTTTTTTTTTTTTTCATCACATACTACGTTTAAGGTTTGGGATTTACCCACACCCACCTACATGCTCTCCAAACAAACCTCATTCTGTTTTCTTGCTTTTTTCTTTCATTTATCTTATCCTTGTGTCCAGCCCTTTTTCCTTTTGGGTCTCCACCCCCTCTTTCCCCTATAAACACCCTTCACACACTCCTCCTGCTGCGGTGCCTTGACTTTGCAGCATTTTGTCTGTGTTTGTCAGTAAAGGCAGCAGCAAAGCCAGATCCACGTTCTTGGTGGCCTCTCACACAGGGGCAAGGCTGGATCCAGCTTCCCACCAGGAACTATTTTCTGCCAAGAAGAACGCACTGGTCTCACCCACGGCTACTAAATCTCTGCAGTGCACTAACTTCACAGCTTACTTTAATTTCTACTGCCTAATTTTTTTTTTTTTTTTACATAGGAAAAAACGCCAACTGCTTTGCTTGTGAGAGAAACACCTCTGCAGTGTGCATTCCAACCTCCTGGTCTTGACTGCTGTGAAATTTACTCAATCACATTCCACAATTTCCACGTAAACTTCAAATAATTTTGAAGCGGTACAGAGGAAGGGATCACGTAACTCGTGGCTGTGCTGAAAGTTCCACAAAGGCACAGCAAAACAAAACAAAAACCACAGCAAAGAAAAATCCGCCAAACCACACACAAAAAAAAACCCCAAACAACACACAAGCTTTTCTTCTCCTTTGTGAATTTTTGGCATACATGTAAGAACCGTAAGAATCTGAGTTCTGCCCTCAAATGAAAAAGTGGCAAAATCTAACAAGCTGGTGAGGTAACAGCAACAAGACTGGTAAGGGCTGGACTGCTCAGGTAATGGTCAACAGTAATACCCATGGTGTTTCCTACAAAATGTATGTATCACGAAAAAATGTGCATTATTATTAAAGCCTGGTAGGACAGGCTTGTGACACTTCTTATGAGCATGTTTGGGGCCACCCCATCCAGCCAGCCACCCCTTCTTCAGCACTGCTGCTTCGGGCCACTTTCTGATAAAGGTGTTTTTGGGTAAGACCCCCCACAAACCAATTCTCAGCCAGCAGCAGCTTTCACTGTTTGACTTCTAATGCCACAAAAAAGTATACGAGGGTTTCCCTGGCAAATCAGCATCTAAGTTGTGAATTGAGGACTGACTCTTGACCTCAACAACCCCGTATATTTTTAAGATCCAAGTCAGCAACAAAAGGTCTGTTTACTTCGGATGCATATTTTCAAATACCCTCCCAGGATGCTTACCACTCCAAAACCAAAACAGACACTCCTCAGATAGTTTTTTTTTTTAAACTGAATTCGAGCTGAACACTGTGTATCGCTCCTGAAATGATGCTTATAATTAGCCTGTAGCCTCAAAATGGGAACTGGAAGTGCCTTGATAAATGAATTGTAAAGGCCAGCCAGCTAGTTTCGTTGTGACTTGTGGAAACACATCTGTATCCTGTGCTGACATGCTATTTTTGTTTTGCTGCCAACCACACAAGTCTGCATCTAGACAGGACAACGTATTAGTCACTGCCAGTGTCCTTACACAGCCTCCTGACAACCTGCACTTCCCCAAACTGCTCTCTCCCCTTTTCCAGGCTCTCTGTTTCCTTGCTCCCTACCAATTACTGCTGTTCCACCGAGATGGCCTTCAGATTCCAGTGCCTGGATTTACACTCAAGCCCTGTTTACCATGGCCAAACCATTCATCAGGGAAATCAGGGGTCAGCAGGAGACTGAGTGAGCCTGAGAACCACCACAAAAAGGCACAATCCTGCACAGGCCACACTCCCTGGGAGCTGAATACCACAGCGTGATACCTAACTACACTGCATTTGCTTTATTCTGCATTTTCCTAACACCTTGTAAGTTCATTGACTGGCACGACCAACACAGATCTGTTTTAAGTTAAGTCGTGTCAGGATGGCCAGGCATCCATTTCTTGGTGGGTGCAGACATGGCAATCTCCTCCACAGGAGCAAGACTTGAAAGCAAGATCTCACACAGCCCACATTCTTCCTTGATAATCAGCACGGCCAGGAAAACAGAGGTGGGACTGAGGTGGTTGATGTTCAGGCAGTGGTGGCAGAGATCCAACAACTGGGGATGAAAGGTAAGCCTCCCCTCATCTGACCTGCACAAAAGCACACCAAAGAACCACACAGCTGTCTGTGCTGGGTGTGTTGTGCTTTAAGCCAGCTGTGACTTACTTAAAACTCATGATGTAGCTGCGTGGTAAGCACTCGTCTTCTCTTGAAGTAGCAGGAAAGGGAAATAAGGAGGGAAAAAGGAAATCCAAAGGATGGTCAGAAAAAGAACCTGGTGCCCTGCCTCTGCTCAGTGCTTTTACCACTGCTTGCTACTTTCCCTGTCCTGCCACTCCTGTGGGGAAAGGAGGTGCACTGAGGGACGTGTTTGTAACACTAAACCCAACATGAAACGATGCTACAACGGAGGACGGGACACCAGAACAAACGTACAAGCACCTAAAAAGCAACACAGTGGAAAAAAAAACCAGCAGGCATGAGTTGTTCAAGCAGAAACAGTGACATACCATTCCAGTTCCTTTAGGAGGATAACTGGATTAGTAAAGCAGAGGGATTTGGGGTGGGCTGCTGCTTAACCTTTAAGACCCACAGGCCTAATTCTGTGCACCTTCCATCTTCTTCCACACACGGGAAATGCTGTCCTGCCATAATGACCACGAGCAGGGTGCATCAACAGGTGCACAGACTAGTGCACTGAGAACCCAAGTATTCATGACTGACTGTCACACAAGACAAGACACTGGAAGAGAGGCACCATGGGGGTCAGTCCTGGGCTCCAGTTAATTGCTATGTCCAGCTCTGTCTGCCTGCAATTCCTGTGTACAAGGAGGCCCTGCAACAAGGCATGGGCCACCTATAACGGGCCCACACATCCTCTCCAAGCTTCTTTAACATTCAGCATTTAAATATCCCTAACATATTAAAAATACCAAAAGAAGTAATAGGCAGTATTGTTCAGGCATGTTCCCACATGATCAGTTAGCACCTTACTGACAAATGGTTTAAATCAGTAATTTCTTGATTCTTGATTCAGGCCAGACTCGGGCACTGAGACTGAAGCTGTTCAGACGTCAGATCCCACTCGGCAAAGTGACAACATTTAACTTGACTCTGTTCTGTCCAAAGCCAGGAAAAGACGAAAAGACAAACAAGAACTCCCAAACATTTGCTCATCAAGCAGCTCTGGACTATCAGGGTCTCCTCAGACCAGTCCAGGTCTTTATTCTGTGGATACAAATTGAGGCGGGGGTGTCTTTTAAAAAAAATAAATTGCATTCACCCTTAAGCAATAAAGAGAGCTACGTGCCTTACTCTTGGTTCTGTCCCAACACTGGGAGTCCCATTGCTTCAGGGAGGGTTAAGAGCCTACCGTGCTAAGGTTAGGAGGTGTCTGTCAGGACTAAGTAGAAACCCCGAAGGAGAACATTTCCCCACTGATTTTGCAGAAGTTTAACAATTTGATGGGACCCCTATCTGTGAAGCTTAAAAGATCTCCCTCAGAGGTCTTTTGCTTGCAAGAGTCCACGATGCAGTTCTAGAAGAAAAGCTACATGATCAAAAAGATCATGACAGAGACATGGGAGGAAGTTCCAAACCAAAGGCTTCACTAAACCTGGGGATGCTGTTCCAGCAGCTACTGAAGTTCAGGAGACAAAAGAGCCTGAGTGACTCAGAAAGGAGGAGTATTATCCCAGAAGCACAAATCCAGAACCAAGCTGACACGCTGGAGGGAAAAAACCTGCACCACGAAAGTGTGAACAGATGAGCTGAATAACGACTGCTCACGAAGTTAAAATCTGGGCTGCAATTCCATATTGAAATAGTCAAGGAAAACTGGGGACAACAGGCAGGGCTCTACACTTCATAAAGAGCTCTCCATAGGGATGACTAAATTTTGCTGCTACATAGTTATCTGCTTAGATCAGCAGCATCTGATGCTCCTGATCCACTGCAGTTGTTTGCTGGCTCAAGCCAAAGGCAGTGGATGATTCAAAAGCAAGTTCTTTCTTTGTTAAAACCAGCCCACTTTATAAATTTATTGTGTTTAGTCACATGATGAAAACCAGATTCTCTTCACTGAAAAAAATCACGGCAGTTTTAGTTGTGATATTTCATAGCTTATGCTACTCTAAAGTCTGAAACATTTAATAGGAGACAACATTTTTTTCCGGTCTTGGGAGACTCAACCACACCCTTGTGAAATGAAAAGCACATAACAGACTAGGCTTTCACAAAATTACAACCAAACTCGATCTGTATTGCTTTGTCAAATATCCAGCACGCTACAGAAACGCAGGGAAAAACGTGCCTGAATCCGCTGCTTAATTTGGTGCTTTTTCCTCCATGTAATGCCCACCCAGCAGTCTTTATTATTACATGTTCTCTCTGAGTCTCAATACTGGGGACACTCTCCACATTTTTGTATTTGCTTTAGCAGTCCTTGATTCTTCTGCCTGACTTTGTGTAAATGAAGTTGAGGTTGCGTGAGAATACTTCCTCTTGGTCAAGGACAGACAGAATGTCAATATAAAATTACCCTCTAGTCCCAGAGAAAGAAGTATCTGCCAATTTTGCACTGAGCCAACTACTCTTGGGACATTGGGGTATGGAGAAAAACAAGCAAATTAGGACTGAAGTGAGCTCACAAGGAAAGTATTCTGCCTTGGCAGAGGCGTGTTTACCTCTTAAATGTGGCTTACAGACTCTTTTACAAATACTGCCCAGACTCTGCAGGAGAGGCAGGGAGATTTATGCAGAAACAGCGATTTCACGTTTTTGGATGTGCAAATCTCTCTCTCTCTCTCTCCTGTTAGAACATACATTCTAACATATAGCTCATCCATAACCACTCACAAACACATCTAACAGAGGAGCACAGAAAACTAGAGAGCAGAGGCCCCTTCTCTCTCTTGCACACGTTTGTTTTCTAAAACGCTTGAGTATCTTTTAATTTACTTTCAAGTCCAGGGATAGTACAGCTTTGCTAGAAGTGACTAAGAATGTCTGGAGGAATCAGATTTATTTCAAAACTAAGTTGTCATAAAATGTCTCTCTGCTCTTAAATGTCACTGGTTTTGAATAAATTCCAGTTCTACAGCTACGGTCCATACGGTTAGATTTGGCAGTTTTAGTCCAAACATTGAGAACTACGTCAGCCCAATTCAGAGAAAAATGCACGAGTGCCAGCAAATAAAGGACTCTCTATTTTTAACAGTACAAGAAGAAGTAAATAACCACAGGTAAAAAGTCCACATTGCACCTATTTTAAGCATAACTTCTTATGAACTACTTCGTAGTGCAATCATTCCAAGCCGACAGGATTGTTTGGGCTGGGGAGGGGAGGGGGAGGTTGTTTTAAGACTCAAATACTCGGTGGCTCAAGCTCTACCAGCCACGTTAGCCCCACCTTTCTGAACTGGACAAAGACTATCACTATAAACACAGATTACACATTTTTACCTTCCCGCCCCCAAAACATAGGACGGTGTTTCTTACCTATTTGGTCTTCGGGAATGAGTGATTCGATTGGAGGATCAAGTTCGGAGCTTTGGGACAAATAGTTCTTGACTTGGGTCATGAACTGACGAATTGTTTGCAGCATATCGGTGCTCGAAACATGGCACTCCTTGTTTTCTTGGAGAAAACTGACATAGTCCTGTACTAAGCATCCAAAATAGGTGCGTTTGTCCCGGGACATCTCGGCAATTTTCTTAATCATCCTCTTCTCAGGGGTCATGAAGGAACTGAAAACTCCGCTGACTTTCCGCAGCTGAGATTTCACAATCTTGGGGAGAACAAACGAACTGCTTCTTTTCTTCTTGGGCTTCAGAGGGGGTGCCATGCTCTCCTGGTCACTCTCCCCCTCCAAGTCCTCCAGGCTGCTGTTGGTGTCCCCCTCGTAGCCGAAGAGCGGCATGCTCCGATCCAAGTCCAGCGAGTCCGACGACGAGGTGGAAATGCTCATGTCGCTCAGTCTCTGGCGGCCCGCATCCCACGGGATGTGTGACTCACAGAGGGCAGCCGGCTTTCTGGGCTCTGCTGGAGCCGGCTCGGGCAGGGCCCGGCCCGGAGCGGAGGCCGCCTGGGGCTGGCGAGCGGAGCCAGGCCGTGCTGCCGCCGCCGCCGCGCTCCTGGCGGCACCGTCCGCCTCCGACACCACGGCCTGCTTCTTCAGCCGCGGAGGCGGAATCGGGGTGGGCTTGCTCTGCAGCAAATCCGAGCCTCTCTCCTTCGGATGGTTGGCCGTTTCTGGCATGCTCGCCTGCTTTATAGTCCTGCAAATCTGTGGGCTCGTGAGGGCGCTATTAATAGCGGGAGGAGGCGGCCGGGGAGGGGGGGAGCGAGGCCTCGCCGTGCCATTCACGTCTGGAGCTCTTGGGCTCTGCCTTTTCAGACTTCCACCGACATCCTGGCTGTGCACTTTCAAGAAGAGGGGATTAATGAAACACAGCGCTCCGTTGGTCTGGCTGCACTCCAGCTCTGAAGGCGTTCTGGTTCGTATAGAATGCACTCCATTTATAAGGCAGAGCTGGCGTGAGTCTTTGCGAGCACTGTCCAAAGGCACAGGCCTACAAGGAGGTGAAGGATCCGGGGGTTTGCTGTTAGCCAGGGAGCTCCAAAAGTCTGAAAATCATCATTGCATTAACGTAAGAATGCAAAACAGCATGCAGAGGGCTTTCAGAACATTCAGCTCAACATCACCAGTTTAAGTAGTAAAGTATCAAGAAATTTAGGCAAGGTCTTATTAATTCAAAGGGGAAAACAAATCCAAGTGAACCTCTTAAAGCACCAGCAGACATAAGTGCATGATACATTCCTGGGGCTGCTCTTACTCATTCATAAGTACCATGACCAATGCATAGCTTCCAATCAGCCCACTAAGCTTAAAATTAAACCAAGAATCTAAGAAAGGAATGGAGACTGTAACAGAATACTTTTTACTGGCTGGAGACTGAAATGAACACAAACTGCCCGCTAGCATCTCACTCAGGAGAAATAAAGCAAGATCCTCGGCTGGCATTAATAAACTCACTACACTAACAACAATAGTTAGGCTGATTTACACCAGCTAAAGGCCACTTAGGGAAACTCTACAAGTATCTTGGTTGGGTTTCTTTTAGTAGTGAACATGCATGAAAAGGCAGCTCACGTTTCGGGGTGGTGGATGCCCACATCACCTTTAGCTATGCAGACCAAGCGTTCCAGTGTCCAGTAAGGGCTCTGGCCTGCTGCCCTGCCTTTGCCAGGGGGGTTTACCTGAGAACACAGCCACGCAGCCATGCATGAAGAGACCCAGTGTGCAGTCCCACAGCAGCAGCACAGAAAACCTACACTGCATAAGTTGCAGCCTCTGCACTTATGCCAACAAAGCGTCAGCATGTTTGTGCAAGTGAGTCACTGCTACAGAGCCTCGGTTCCTGAAGGTAGGAAGACTGAAACCAGATGTGCCCTTGAAGGAGCAATCATGCTGAAATAAGGGCAGAACACAAGAAGATTTAGCTAAAATTCCCCCGTCTTGACACGGTCCTTTTCCCATAGTGTGTGTCAAGATGGCTCACTTGAGCACAAGAGGCAACTGAGCAATGACACCTGGGCCCAAGTGCACGAATGCCAAGCATCCACAACAGGTCCGTACCCAAGAGCCATGTCCTGCCCGCGGGGCAGAGGACAGGAAATAGCCCACAGTGACAGAGAATGTCAACAGACACAGAGGTATGTTCCTCCACCCAGTCATGCCATGCTGCTGGTGTTCCCAGCTTCGTGACTTCACATCCTGCCTGCAGATCTCTCACTGCCTGTGCCTGGCACATGGCTGCTGCAAACACACCTGATGTAAGCACTGCTGCAGGTGAAACATGAGGGAGACTGAGAGAGAATCATATGTCCAGCACATGAAACCCTGCAGGTTGGCAACAGCCTTGAAATCTCCACCAGAAGTTCCTCCTAATGTGGCTTGCTGGGCTCTTGTCTTGCACTGTGCAGCTCTCCCTCTGAGCCCAGTGCACAAGAGAGCTCTGACAGGGGATCCAGCCCTGTGTTCACACACCACGGGGTTTTGTGACTACATGTTCCTCCAATAAAACTCACAGTTAACAGGAAGGGCTCTTGGGAGTTTTTAGGCCTCTCTTGAGTCCACAGCACTGAAAGGCTGACTTTCTGGTGTGCTCTTCTTCATGTGGGCACCTAAAACTCCCACCAAAATTTCAACTTTGCTGCCTGCTTTTAGCTCATGGAAACTGTGATCTTAATCTGGTGTGTATCAGGTAATTGATGCCAAACGCAGCAACCACACAGACACGGATCCATCAATCTTCTCCTCAGCTTCAAATGGACTAGCTAAAGGAAAACCACTACACAAAATGCACAGACTGTTCAAGACTAAGACTAATTCTGCAGCAAGCAGGCCACAGTGCTCTGGGGTACTGGTGACAAGTGTAGTTAGCCTGGAGAGCATGTATCCCAGTCAGACCTTTTACTTTCTTTTTGCCATCTAAACATTGACCTCAATAGTACTGTATTTGCCTCTATTTCCGTGATAATCCGTAGTTTCACCTGATTACCTCAACTTGCAGACAAGCAGTGCAGAAATAATTTCTCTCCTCTCCAACACAAACCCTTTAATTGCATTGCTACTGCAGCAAAACAAAGTGCAGAGCACTGCAATACATCCCCGGGTATGGCTTTACTGAAAATTCCCAGCAGACAGTTCAACAGATCCTCATGCTAACACTGATTTACAGAGGATCCTTTTCAAAATCAAAGATGATTAAAAAAAAAAAAAATCTACTGCAACTAAGACTGCTGACAGTCAACCTTTCCTTCCTGGAGAAGGAAATGAGGCGCTCAGCACTTTGCTCAATGTGCAGTTGCTCAATGATTCATCTGGGTGGTGCCCAAATTTCAAATCCCACCAGGCTTTGCATCTGTCTCCTCTGAGCTCAAGGTAGGCTTTACCTTGAGCCTGTGTTTAGCTGTAGCAGCCAAGCACTGCAGGGACATGGCCTTGTGTTGTCTTTTGGTATTTTAAAATTTCACCTAACCCCTGCCCATGGATACATTCTACACATCCTATATACACACTCCTCATTTTCTAAATATGCCACTTCACTGAGTCACTGGCCTCAAAATTGACCATTTTAAGCCTGCATGTCAACCTGAGCAGAAGTTTTGTTATCAGGGGACCTCAGTTCCTACACTCTCCTCACAATAAATGATGAAGCCAGGGCCTGCTATGTGAGCATGCAGACAGCATTAGGTCTTGGAGCAGAAGCCACATCAACCTCTGTGTGGGGAGTGAAGGATTTGCTTTGCCCGAGGGCTGCCCGGAGAGGGGAAAGAAGAAGGAAGAAGGAAATTAATGAAAAATATCACAGAAGGCACAGAAGGAAGGAAGAGCACCACTCCTAGGCCAGAAGAAGGTCTGGCCTTCCCAAATACGAGAAACTGCTTTTCTAAACAAAATCTGTATCATCACTAACCAGTACGAAGTATTTACAGATATAGCCAATTTTTTCAATGTTACAGAAGTGCTGGAGGGACATCTATATAGAGAATTACTTACTCAGTCCAAGCTGAGCAATCTCTTCAAGTTGGGCTTCTGTCTTTGCTGCAGCAATTGCATGAGGCAACTTCAGTGTGAATGGAAGGACATCCCTGTTTCCAAAGAGAAAACCATTATGCTTTTCAGTGACATCCACAGTTTTAGAAACTTTTTTTTAAAAAAAACACTGGCAGTGGTCTATCTCTGATTACTTTCTTTTTGAGCTGTGGCAAGTAGCAAGATCCTTAAACACAGAGCAGAATTAAACATTACATTACCAACCCCAGGGCTCCTTTACACTGCAGAGTGCTGTGAAGGGCCAATGACAGTCAAGTGCCCAGGACCTTCCCAAGGATCGTGTCCACTGCCTTTCCAACAGAAGCTTTTACACCTGGTCTTCGACAAGCAAATCAGTGAGATGCAAACTTGTTACCTGCCCTTAACACTTCAAAAAAGCTTCTTAACTTTCTGCATACACTAACTAACTGCTATTCCAGTCTTCAGAATAAAAATTTTATTCTAACTAAATGATGCTAAACTGCAACACCTAGAGGTACTCATAGAATGAAGACTAAATGAGAATCCTACACAACTGGTGTCAGCATGAATTTTCATTTTAAGGCTGCAAACAAGCCAATCATCTGCTACAGCACAGACAGACAGTGGGTCTTTATGACATAAATACTTTCTATGTTGTATGTTAGCTTCTTGAAAAAACAGGATTCCACTCACACTCAAGCCAACCATATGCACAAGACTGATACACTAGCCAAAAAGCATTTGAAAGGCATTTTACATGGTACCACAGAAAAACCCAGGGTCCAGATCATCATCATGGTCTCAATTCAAACCTTCATAAAAACTGGTTGGTTACCTCCTGCAAGAAATTCTCTGTGGCTTTAGAAAATCCTCTTGGATTTCCTGTGATGTACCAAATGGTACTATCTCTTTTTCACAATAGCTACCTATCTGCCTCCTTTAGTCTATAGAAAGCAACTCTGAACCTTTGGTGAAAGAAAATGGATACACTAATGCCAAGAAATATCTGTTTGCTGCATGATCCCGAAGGTACTTAGAAATTACCAGAGCCTGGTAAGTGGGCAGGACTGAAAGGGTGCCAAAATAAGAAATATCTCCTCATTAAACTACTTTTACATGGATTTTCAGCTAATTTCTCACCTGAGTGCTGACCAATTACCCATGTGGTATCAATGCTGCTTTTATTACATGCATGTACAGCTTGGCTACACAGAGGCTGTGGCAAATTTTCACCAGTGAACTTAAGTAAAATTCAAAACCAAAGATAAAAACACCAGCTACATTTTTTTTCCTGCATAATACCTGGAAAACAAGTTGGGCAACCATAAACTGCAAAGCTGACAAGGCCATTTTTAGAGTTGACCATTTCAACCGACATCTCCCAGCTGTCACATTTTACATATCTGACATCTATCCATCATGCTCCAATTATTTCATCAGCAATTCCATGAAATGGACTTTGCAAGCTGGTTTGTGATTGTTTTTTAAATGAGCTACGGATCACTTATGAAAGCATCACAAAATACCACCACAAGTAAAGTTCAGCTTGGCACCCCCCTCAAAGCTGGGTGAGTAAAATCACAGCAGCTTCCCCCAAAATCAGTATGAAGTAAGACACAGACACTTGCTTCCAAGACTCACCTCTGATTTCCACCATTACCTTCTAAGGCTACCCAGGAATATTTGCAGATTGGCAACATAAATATCATGCTGAACCAAGTCCTCAAAACTCTTTTTCTCTAGCAGGTATGACTTGGAACACAGCAGCATCTTACCTGCTAATACAGTAGAAAGCAATGAGTCTGAATAAATCAGCAAAACTTATTCCAGATCCCTCCAAGGAAAACGCTGTGAAGAAAGTTAGGAGAAAGAACCACACATTAATCCACTGTTTCTTAAAACAGTTTAATCAAACACATCTCAGATTTTAGCATGCAGTTAATAAGTTCTCACCATCAAACTAGATACTGTTGGGTTAAGAGAAAACAACTCTATAGAGGAGTAGATATCCCTGCTGAGGGCATTTTCAAGAATATACTAATAATCTTTTGGTGGCTGGTTTGCTTTTGTACTCCCAGCATATGGTCTAATTCCTGTAAAACAGATTAAGTGTGCTGAGGCCTGCACAATGTTTTGCTAATAGACAATAAATCAGTAACTGAGGCTAACTAACTAACTAACACACCTGATTTAAAATCTTTTATTTCCTCCTCTTGGATTCTATTCTACTCACTTATCTTTGCCCTAGGTGTGTAGAACCTAAAGGGAGATACATTTTCATTCACTCCAAGAAAATCTTTTAACCTGAAAACCCTTAAAAAACTCTCACAATTCTGTTGCATGTCATTGCCTTGCATGAGGGGAGAGGAAGCCACGAGCAGTGCCTTTCCTTTTTTCCCATTTGATATACCGTTGTTTTTTATGGATACAAATACTTGTTCTCATTAATAATGACAATTAGCTCAGGCTCTCTCTGATGCCAGTAGCAAATCTCACCCAATGCCTACACAGATCAAACAGAAGCAGCTCCTGGAGTGAAACCATCCAGACCTTTTGCCTCTGGTCTAAAATCTCAGCTGTGACAAATCAGTAAATACTTCCCCCTTGTGGAAGAATTTTGCTCATAAAAGACAGTATATAATTATTTTCTAGATGGGAATTTATTAGTGTAACAAGCCTATAAACACACCCTTAGACCACTCTAAGATCAGCCATTACTGACAATTTTCTCTTCTCTTTGCCTTGCCTTGCTTGTAACTGGAACTAAAACCAGACACACAGAATTAACTTTTTGATCCTGGGTGCAGGGGAGGGAGAGATAAGAAAGGAAAAACTCAGTTAAAATTCTGTCAGTTTACAAACAGAAATAGAAGTTAACTATAGACTGTCTGTTTCAGGGATGTTTAACTGAAATTGCTGCTAATTTTCTCCAGTTTTCTCTTTCTTGTTCAAATGAAATATTTGCTCCACTTGCAGTTTCAGCACCACCAACACTCACCAGCTACAGCTTCCTTTGTTCATTCCTAAATCTCAAACTTATTTTTCACACCCGCCCTTCTAAAGATATGAGGGCATTATTGGTTCAAAACAATTTGGAGCGCTAACATTTGCTCATTTCTACTAAAAAGAGAAAGAACAAATATAATTTGAATTAAAAAGAGAAATGATGGATCTCGCAACAGAAACAGTTCTAAATGGTTAAAATCCATTTAGCTATTAGACAAAAAACCCCAAAACCTAGCAACAAAACCCACCAACAAAAACAAACCCAACAACCCATCCCATACCTAAACTGCAGAGAGAGAGAGAGAGCTCATGACCAAGTTGCATCCAGGAACAGTCCCTTGAGTCCAAGGCAATGCAAGGACATTTCATTGAAAGCAGACAGGATTACAGAAAGTGTTTCTACAAAAGACATGTAAGTTTCTAAGAGGACAACTCCCCATAGAAATCAATGAATCCTGGATTCGGCAAAGGTACACGACTGAAACATTCCAGCTGCAGCAGCCCAAAGTCTTCCTGCACATCTGCCCTCCTCGTGCCTTCCCCACACCCAGAGAGCAGCACAGGCAGCCCAAGGCATTATTTGCATGACTTTGGGTACCCTCTGTTGTGGGTTTCAGCAGTGCAAATGCTCCTGCATCCTACAGGGAAAATGTACCTAAAACGGCATAACTCACAACTTACTGTATGTACTTTCTTTTATGGCAAATTCTTTCAGGCAGGACCCAGAGTCACTGGACAGACGTAGAGAGATTACTTTCTTCTGCAGCCTTGCAGATTTCCTAACCAGAAATATCTGTTGTGGAGAAAGCAGAAGGACGTGGTTTTAGCTTCATCCCAGATGGCAGAATAAATACAGATCATATACAAAAAGCAATGAGAACAGCCTCATGATGACTGCTCTGAAACGTACCATAATTTTACTTGGTCATTAGTGTATTGGGTCCAAAAGCTGTGTATAAAATGGCAATACACAATTGGGAAAAGCGTGTCCTCAAAGAAATTGAGATTTTTCTTACCCCAGGAGGCTGTGTCTGCAAAATTTCCATGGCTTCAGCATCATTCAGACCAAGCTGCAGCCACACAGGGTGAGTATGGAGGAGCTTGTCCAATATGCTCAGCTTGTTGGATAGGCTGTCATATCCAGAGTCCCGGGGACAGCTTTTTACATCGTTTTTCTCAGGAGAGACATTATCCATATCCTTTATTAGACTGTGGAAAATTTAGAAGAAAAGAAAAAAATTAGACATGCTACATTCAGTAATGAAGTACAGTTCTTGGAGGCTGCAGAGTCTTGTTAATAAAAATGCAAATAAACAGAATACTTTGAGAACTCCTTTTGTTATGCAAAGCTTCACCATCCTCCACATAACACAGAACACCCAGTACAAGTGCATGTGTCTTGCTGGCTCTAATTCCTCATTGTTGAGCTAGAAATACATCCTGTGATTCTTCCCATGCTAGAAATCACTTTGGAGCAGTTACTCTGGTGACACGTTCCCAATGACAAAATTTAGGAGCAGGCAAAAAGCACCCTGTAAATTTGACTGAACTCCCTGAGGAGTCAGGCAGAGGATATGTTCTGCTGTTCCCCTTACAGACTTTTTCTGTGGCAGGAGAGGCCCCGGGCAGCAGAGGGCAACAGGGCTCCACGTCCCCACTGCACGCTGTGCAGCTCCTCTGCATTCTGCCCTAAATGCAGCATTTACCATCCTCATTATGCCAGCCACTGCACCCTCAGCAAGTGGTACAGAGTTCACGAGCACAGGAGCACTGAATACTTCAAAAACAAACCAAAAGCCTCTCTGTCCCTTGCAAAAACACCCACGGCAAAGAAAGCAAGCTGAACCAAATTAAAACCCACCAGCCAAACAACAGAAAAACTGCTTTCTTCTAGCTTTGTTCAGCAGCTTGCAGCATCTCTGGAGAGGGTAAGCAAGGAAAGTGAATAGGGAAGAGAACTCTCAATGTATGATCAGATAAAGAAAAGCAAAATAATTTGATTTTTCATTACCTGGATCATTTACCACTACCAGCGTTTGCCTCTTTCTTTTTTCCTCTTATTTATGATGTGATGCTTTTCAGATTTCCAAGGCATCTCAAACGCAGAGGATTCTCCCCCCTGCCCACAAGCATCAGAAGCTTCTACTAACTGCCAGTACGACTTCAAGGGGCACAAAATACACAGGAACACATTGGGTGCAGGAAGGAAGTACTTTTTACATCAGTCATGACTGGGTCTGAAACTGCCTCAGTAGGAATACTGGGTTCCCTTTTACACCACTCAACAGCAGAGCTGAGTGTCGCAATGGAACAATCTCCAAAAGTCAAATCCTGAACCACGAAAGTATTTTCCTGGGCTGAACCTCTAGTAAATACTGCTCTGAAATTTCCCACTCATCCTCAGTGCCAGTTAGCTGCATTACAAACCGAAGGGAGCTGTGGCAAACTGCAACTTATACACCAAGGCTGGCTGCGAGCTTAGACAGATAGAAATCATTTCCCCTGCCCTTGGTCAGGAGGTGAAAACTAAATGTGCTGCAAGGGGGAATATGTCCAAGAGGGAGAAAGTTTTTTTGCCTACTAAAGGACAGTTACCTCCAACTCAAAACAAGGTGTGCAACTGGTACGAGCTACAATGAAAGCGCCAGACTCCTTTCAGTGAGGAGCTGCCTGGTTTTTGGAAGCTCCAGGTTCTCACAGGTGCACAATCCCTCCCACATGCTAGAGAGCCAAGGAGGAAACTCTCTGACCTACATACACGGGGCACCTCCTTGCTGCAGCTGCTTCTGCCCCCCTCAAGAAATAAGCCAAAGATTATGAATAATATCTCATCATGACCGCAATTCCTGCCACTCCTAAGCACTAATGGTTCAAACAACACGGATGCAACTCGGCTAAATCAGCATTAGAATGTTACTGGAATGTGTGGTGAGATAAACAGGAATGGAAAATGCTTCTAAAAATGATTTCCTATCCCTAAATAATAAAGAAGGAGGCAGAGAGAAAGATCTAACCTAGTGAACTCTGGAAGAAGCACACCTTGGAAAAAAATCACACCTGGCAAACCACACAAAACCTACAAGAAGCCACTTCCCAAGAAATGGGAGCAAATGCAGTAAAAAAATCCCACTGGTCTGTTTTGATAGCCTATTTGCATTGGTACTGAGCATCATAACCCCAGTTTGTTTTTTGTTCTTAAAATAATATTAATTAATGATCTGGGCATTAGACATGTACAGTCAAACCCTGACACACGGGAGTTCTCAAAACTTGTTATGTGTTAAAGAGTTAGACTAAAATTACCTGGGACTGAGATGTGTGTGTAACTGCTTTGGAAACAAGTGCATGGAAAGAATAATCATTTGAGTTCATGAGCAACAGATTAACTCAAATGTACTGAACAAGAAAAAGAAATTGCTGTAACCTAAATTCTAGCAAAATATGCTGTATATTATGCAACAACTAAATTCCTCTCCTGGTTTTACTTTGGGGTTGGAGGATGTTTAGTTGGTTGCTTGCTTGTTTTTTGTTTGGGTTATTTGTTTGAGATTTTGGAAAAAAAAAAATTCCTGATAAAAGACAATCTGACCAGGTCACATTAAACTCAAAATCGAAACACAAATCAGCCTTAATGGATGGTCTGCTTTAATTCAGGGCTGCTACATGGTTCCTCTTCAGTGGGAGAGGTAGATTTCAACACTACTCACAATGAACTAAAGAAAACACATGATTCATGCGAGTTTCCTTAGATTTGTGAACACCCATCAACACATGGGAAGTACAGAGAGATAACTGCCAAGATAAGCAATGCTGTGCTGCATCCTGATTAGACTTAGCCCACAGTGAAGAAGACATGGAACAGGCTGAAGCTTGTAAGCAGGAGGATCCTTGCTCATGATGTGAACCTTGCTGCAGTCCCATCAGAGCTAACCACCTCTCAGTTAACCCAGCCTGACTCTCCACTGCAAAATGCCTGGATTTCTGTAAATCTAACAGAGTGACCCCAGCCCAGTCTATACAGTCATACTGAGCTGGGAGGGGCAGAGAGCCACTGGGAGCTTCCTCCTGCCTCCTATTGCAGCTGCAGGACCAGGACAAGGCAGCTGGGCACAAGGTTTCTGGCTGCCTGCCCAGCTGGCAGCAATGACAGGAGTGGTGCAGGACACAGGATGGCTCTGCTGAGGTGAGGAGCTGCTGCTCTTGTGAGGGCAGTGCAGTGCAGGGCACAAGGCAAGGGAGCAAAGCTCTGCCCCCTGCTCCTTCCACAGGAACACAGCAGCGAGGGAAAAGCAGCAAAGCACCCCTGAACCATTCCACAGGCACCAAGTGGCCAGGAAACCTGGAGCTGTACAGCCTAACCTCCAGAGGGACAGCAGGAACCCTCCTGGGCATCCACACACAGGTGCCACCAGTCGTGTCCCACAGGCTCCTGGGCTGTCACTGCATGCAGAAGCTCTCTCCTTACTCTTTGAAAAGTCTCTGGAAAGGCAGGACAGAAATCTGTCCCACTAACTCCACAACTCTGCTCATTTGCATTACTGAGATAAACGTCTGCACTGGGAAAAAGGCCACGCATCCAAGAAGTGGGATACTCAAACACTCCCCATTAAAACACATTTTTGCAAGGTTTTTTTTTTTTTTTTTTTTTTTGCCTTTTACATATTTACAAGCCCATGAATCATTACTTGGGCCATATATATAAAAAAGGAAAGATGAGCCCAAAATAAAGGGAGTATATAGGTACCACATAACCACAAAAAAAATCCCACACCACAATACTAAGGTTGCAGACATGCAATTTCATGTCCTTATTTTTCTGAACTCAGCTGAGAGCTCTGCAACTGTTGCTTTTCCAGAACTGCTCTGGGTGCCTCTGGATACCTGCTGAGGTGGAAAAAGAGTGAGGAAAATGGACATTCCATTGAGCTCCAACTGCCCTAGATGTAAATCCAAAGGTCATATCAAGACACCAACTCCTGCACAGCAGAACACACAGTAAGAAGAGCAAACTACCTTAACTGCCAAGTTTTAAATTAACTACAAAGAAATAAAATTATGACAGTAAACACAGCGTTGTGAAGTGTCTAGTTTAAACAAGAACAATGGAAAACCTGTGTTGAAATCACTATAATCTTGTTCTTTAGCTCCATATTAAAAAAAAAAAGGTCAGTGCACAACTAAATTGCATCCTTTATACCAATTTTGATACAACTTCTTCCTTACATAGAAGCATGCAGTTCAGAATTTTGTAGTCACAGTAAGTTTCACTTGAGCTCATTTATTCAGACTTCATATTTCACATTATCATCTCTTTTGATGGCTATTATTATTATTATTATTTTTAATGGCAATTGCATTATTCACTTTTTAATGTTACGTTTACTTACATATCCTTAAACCACAATATATTTTGCAGTCAAAAATTAACAAATTAAGATTAAGAGTCCATTAAAAAAAACAATAAAAAAGAAAACTCAAGATCTGTAAAATGGGGAGATTTCGTTGACTGTTTGCAGCTAAGTGCTTCCACCAGGATTTTAGAATCGGTAGACCTTAGCCTTTCATGCATATGATGTATTCAAAGATACAGGAAGCCTTTTCTTAACTGAAAAGTAGCTGATGATCTCTGCAGTTAATTAGCTGAATTCACAAAATGAAGACAGTATCTATCCTTTCTACCCCTCTGAAAGGGCTGTGCTCTCAGAAGCTTTAAAAATTGAATAATGTTCAACCAGGGCCATAGCCAAGGAATCAAATTAATTCAACTGTCTTGCATTCTTTACCACTTGGGAAACAAAAAAATGATCTACATATGCTTTGTAGTAAGTTCTAGCAGATTTCAATAGAACTCATAGGAAGAAAAAGAGCTAAAAATCTTGGATGCAATTCTAAAAACAATTTTCCACCTCGTTAACTCACTGCTAGAAGAACAAAACCCACCAGGCTCCCGGGCTGGCCACGACCATGCAGTCACATCAAACACAACACTTACACTGGCTGCTTTCCTCTCAAATATTTCAGGTAAGTACTAAACTGTGTTCTCTTGTTAACACAACAACTCAAATACTTATTATTCTCCAGATGTCAGTTTAGCAGATGTTGCTGTTCATGAAAAACCAAAACGCTGAGGAGGTTCCCATTCTGCCCAGTTAAAGGCACAATTTTTTTTTTTTTAATGTGCAAGTTACTCATATATAAATTAACTTGAACACAAAAGCCACATATGCATCAGCTCATACCAGTCAATATTTTACTTCTGAGAGCTTAAATAAATCACGCTATTGATGGAGAGCAAGCTCATCTACACCTCTATGCTGCCAAGGAGAAAAGTGCTAGGAGACAAAAGCCACCCCAAAAAGAAAGCAAAGTGAAAACATTCCTGTCGTGGCAGACCCTCCAGAACCATGCAAACAGAAACATTTGAATCACCTTCTCCAATCAGCAGCTTCATCTTCCACTGTGAGATCTGTGTGTACCATCTCCTGTTTCAATTCTCCGATTTCTGAGGCAATTGTGTCAATGAGCTGGAAGGGGACAAAAATAGTATGACATCAAGTGAGTGGAAGAGGCGTGGAAAAGAAGGCAGGGCAAGTTTAGTCACCAGAGATTGCAAACTTTTTTCTTTTTTTTTGTAAAATCGCATCCTATTTGGACTTCCTCTTGCAAAGGAACAAGTAAGGGTTGGGGCCACGTATAAAGGTTTTCAGAGGAAGAGTAATTCCTGCTCTGCAGCACTACAAAACCTTCCAGTTTGGCTAGCCTTTTAATTTAAATGGATTAAATCTACAGCCTCTGTGTATTATTTACCTTCTTAAAAAAAAAAATAATTGAAGAATTCCATGTGCANACGTATAAAGGTTTTCAGAGGAAGAGTAATTCCTGCTCTGCAGCACTACAAAACCTTCCAGTTTGGCTAGCCTTTTAACTTACAAGAACTAAATTATTTAACTCTTCGTAGCATTTACCTTCTTAAAAAAAAAAATAATTGAAGAATTCCATGTGCAAGAGTTTTATTTCAGAAGGGACACTAAGCCAGCATTACGATAAGGTGGAGGATGAAAAGCAATGAAGCAAGAAGGGAGTGGGTGGCTGCCTTTCACCTCAGGTTTTGGACTCCACCTGAACACAACAAGTCAATTAAAAAAAGAATTGCCTTGCAAGCCTTCAGCTCGTGTAGAACACCAACCTAATTCTGGGTACGAGGGCAAACACTCATTTTAAGGTGGGCGAGATTAGCACTAAGGTTGTATCCTGAGAAATGCAGAATTTGCTAGCCAGACTTCGGGGAAACCTTTTGTTGATGAGAAACCAACCATGAACTTTGCAAGCCTCTTGCACTTTGCTCCCTTGAACACTTCTTTGTAGCCAATGCTTGTCACAACACACCAGGACAGCCTGCAAACAAACCCTAGCAGGGTTCCCTCTCTCCTGCTGGCAGGGAACCTAATGAAAGGTTTGCAGTGAGGCAGGGGATCTCTACCACCACCCCTGCCCATCACAGCAAACAAAATCCCTGGCACACGAAGGAAAAACAGCCTTGGAGTCAAAGTCAGAGCAGTCTCCACAGCTGTCCTGAAGCTATGAGCCCGAGTCCCACTAAGGGCAGGCAACTCAGTACAGCAGCATTTCCAAAGAATTGCAGGCATCATTTCTCTAAATTGTTATATTGGAAATTTTCCTCCACCTCAGGAATCCACACTCCTTTTCTGAGCAGCATCATTCCAATCAATTCATAAGAAGTGTTACTCTCTGCTTACAATTGGCCAACTCCAAAAATAAACCTTATATAAGAATCTATTACCATTACCCACACCCTAAGGGCTTTTTTCTTTCCCAGCCATAGCTCCCAGTGTTGGAAATTACATCAAGTTTAACATTTTTTAATATCACTTCAGTCAGGGGGACTTGTTTCCCTTTGTCCAGGGGGAAAAGAATTGAAGTTTCTTTCCCAAGGACTGTTCCACCACTCATGGCCTGATGAGCTTAACATCTCAGCACAGAAGATACACAGAAGATAACAACCATTAATCAATGTCAACTCCAAACATCACCCCTAGCATGGTCTAGGAAGAGACAGATAAGAGAAGGAAGGCTGGGAAACTAATTCACATTAAAGGTGAATAGATCCATGACCAGTAGGAAAACAAAGACCGTGGGGGGACCAGTGAACATTGAACCTGTGAATTTCTCTGGGTTTTGACTGAACGTAAAAATCTCACAAAGACTTGTGTGATGGAGTGATTTTCCCTGCACAAACAGGGCAATGTGTGGATGAACTGATTTCTATTGCACATTCTGGCCAGAACAAAGCAATGCCTTAATTCTCTAGCACTAAAAATCGTTGTTGGAGAGTTTTTGTTTTTCTCTTCAATGACAAAAAAAAGAGTTCTCTTTTGCATCATTTGTGCATCCTTGCAATTAACTGACACATACTGTTACAGCAGCATTTTTCCATCCTACATCCTAAGGTGTTCTCCTGATTTTATGCATTCTCAGTATTTAGGATCAATGAAACTGGTGATTATGCAGCACACATGATGCACACATCATACAAGATGAGCTGTTAATAGCACGTTTCTGCAAAATGCAGGAAGGCCCCTGGGTATGTGCTATTATTAGCTCCAACCCTGAGGAAACAAGCAGCAGCAGAAGGCTCTGCCTTTTTAGTGCAAGGCTAAGAATATTGGAATTGTTCAAAGAGACTTCTCTATTGGCAACAAGTGTGGTATCTCTTTGGCTGGGAACAATAGGAAAACTCACCCCTTTGTTTCAACAGACTTGAAATCAAGAGGCAACTTTCAAAGGAAAATGCAACAAAGTGGATGTTTACATTTTTCAGAAGCCACTGTTAGTGTAAAACAGCATACATGAGCCTAAAGAGTTAAAAATAATCAGAAGAAATCTGCTGGGGACTGTTTAGGCCTGTGAAATAAATATTACCCTGCTATGCTATAGAAAGAGGGGGTTTACCTGGCATTTAAAAGTGTGACATCTTCTCAGGTGGTTAATTAATCAGTATTTCTTCAAAAACAAAATTAAAATGAGATCTCATATAACCTGATAAAATAGCTATTTTTGTGTGCAACGATTTTCCTTTGAAATTTATTTCTGATAAAGCACTGGTCTGTAAATTCAAAAGACACTACAGTCTAACCACTGTAAACCCAAACAATAATTATGACTCAGGCAACATGAATTCACATGGCAGCCCAGTACAGTGTTGTCTAATCAAATCTATCCTAAACATTAGATTGCCAAATACCCATGTGCTAACTGTTTACATTCCTAATGAAATAATGAAATGCAAACATCTTAAACCACAGCATTTCCTTTCACAAAGCACCAAGCTCCTCCTATTGTCAATTGATTCTGAGCTCAGCTTTTGGCAGCTGGCAGGGGTGACAGTGACATTTCTACATACAGGCCACGGACATGGCACCCCAGCACAGCATCTATTCAGCTTTGCCTCATTCAGGATGTTGCACAAGCAGCAAAAAATCAGTGTTTTCACTCCCAAGGGGCTCCAGTCCCATTTGTGAAGCTGCTGCTCTACTGACACTCACATCACTGCACCAGGGAAATCACATAGCCAGGACCAGACACAGACACTGCCTCTCCCACCATATCTAAAGCTCTTATCACTCACTTGACTTCAAGAGTTTCCCCCCTCCCAAGAAGAAGACGGATGGGTTTGATTTGATGTCTGTCCCCAGACGTTTTTAGAAAAAAACCGCGTGACAACTGAATTTCTGCTTTTTGTGTTGAAATGTAAATAAGCTTGTACAGAGAATTAACGTCATTCTGAGAAGGCACTGGGAGGGTTGGACAAGATGACCACTGCAGAATGTTTCCAAGCCCCTAGAGGAAAAGGTAAGGGTGCTTCTAATCTGGCATGGGGACAGCGAGAGCAGTATCAGCCTGGACAAATGAGCCTCAGCACTCACCACTCCCCCTTCCTGCCAGCATCTCATTTTTCATCCTTTCTGGAGACCTGCATCCTCTTTGGCATCACATCTTTTCCTTCCTGTTTTGATAAGCAGAACGTAGCAGGCTTCACAGAGGGCCCTGTGTGATGAGGTGGCCAAGTGCCAGAGACGAGCCTGGCTGGGAACTCTGCTTCTGGACTTGTGCAAGCCTCTGAACACAATCCAATATTTTCATACATGGCTGCAGATTCTGGTTATTTTGCACAGTGAGCTATGAATTCTCAGGGCCACTGACGTTGTTCAGTGTCTTACTCATCAGAAACAAAGTTTTACCCGATGTTTGGTTTTGGAACAGGAAAGCTTTACTGGTGTAAAACCTCTGATGTCAGTTCAGTAAACACTGGAATATTTTGATGGGAAGGAGGATAATTCAGCACAGAGGACATTTGTCAGAGACATATATTCAGCCCATGCCTTACCAGAGACTCTCTCTGTAATCACTGGCAAGCTATTCAGTCCCAGAATTATCCAAGACTAACCCCATCTTTGCCTCATTCTTACTACTTGCTGGCTCTGAGCATTCACCAATCACAAGGTGTAGAGTCCACAGAATTTAACCTCTAAAACTTCCCACTTCTGCTCTAAAATGAGGACAATACTGTTTTCCTTCTGTGCTAACAGTCAAAAGACTGGCCATGAAAAAAACTAAGAGATGGTTAGAAGCTGCAGCAATGAGAACTACCTAAGAACCAGAAAAAAAAAAAATAAGGATAAAGTTGGAATTTCCCAACTGGTATTTGTGCCAGCAATTTTCCTGGCAAATGTTGCTGAGAATGGCAAGTTATTCCCTTTAAGAAGATTTAAATGCCCTGAGAATCTGCCTACCAGCATGGTAAAGGTTTCTTAGGCAACATGAGAGCCATGTGCAAGTACAGGGTACAGCCTGTGCACGGGGGAGAGCATTCTGAAGAACAGATCAGCAGGGATAAAAGGCCACATCTTCATTACTAGCTCTCCTAAACACAGACCGACAAGGCAACTTACTCAAAAAATCTGATGTGCCAAGTATTTTCCTTGCTCACCAGCTCAGCTGTAGTAGACAAATGTAACTGTTATCACAATTCTCCTCACATGGCAGAGGGAGGGGGAAAAAAAAAAAAGGTAATTTCACTGCACACACACAAGCTACCAGGTGCACTGCACACAGGCTGGGCATACTGACTGCCTGCAGCTTCCAATCCCACACTCTGTGCTCAGAACCACTGCCCAACAGTGCAACTTGCCAGGGATGCTGACAGGCCTGGAAAAGTAGCTTGGAGGCATCGACTTCCCTGCCAGCACGTCCTTAAGAAAATTTAGGACCTTAGTTTTGTAATTGACAATGCTTCTTGAAACTGCCTTGGCAGACTGCATTTCTGATTATTTAAAGTAACTGTATCCTCACCGTCATGAACAAAACAGCTGTTCCAGCTGTTCCAGCATCTGTTTTCTACATAATAATCACACAAGGAGATCCCAAAGGACTGCAGAAAACGACTGGGTGCTGGACTGTAAACCTTCAGCATGCACACAAGAGACAACCTAGAGATGTGATATACACAGATATTTTGATGGCTCCCTAAAGCAAAGGCAGCCACTGTGACCCTGGCACATAGCTCAGGATTCAGTCACCTCTTGAAAACTGCACTGGTAACTCCTCCTGCAGCCTGGTTTTTTGGGATGCCAATTGTTTTCAAAAGAGGCAAGGAAGTGAAACCAATTTTCAATCCAGTAATGGAAGTCATAAACCTGTAACACAACTTTAAGTGACATAAATCCAGTTTATGAAGGCTCAAATACTTTTATGCCTGTGTAAAATAAAGCTTATGTTCTCAGCATTAGCAGCAAACAAAGCCATGACCTATTTTACACAAAATATTCTGTTCCACGTACAGAAAAAAATAACCTTGTGAAATATTGGGGGGGGTAAGCAAGTCACAGATCTCCCTGTAAAAAGCAATGCTCAAGAAGTACTTCCCTTTTTACAGAAAAGGCTTCCCATGTATCACAGAGAGCACTGCACATTCTGCTGCACTCATCTCACACTGACCCACGGATTTTAAGTTCTGTATAAATATCCCACTTACCTTAAAGAAACTTCCTCTTTTGTCCACACAACGCGTTTTCATTGTCAAAGACGACATCTTCCCTGAGAAGGCTCCACTGTGTGCCTCGATCCCCTGAAAGCAGGCACATATTTGTAATGGTTAGTCCAGGCTGTAGGAAATTCCTCTGCAATTCTAAGCCACAGAAACAGTCACAACAAGCCTTCTGCCAAAGCCTTTCCATCGACAACATCGTGCCATTTATTTCCTACCAGAAATAGCTTTTCAGTCCATTATTTTTCCATAAATTGCTTCAGAAATACAGTGCTACTCAGAGTTCTGTATCTCTCCCTTCTTTTCACAGCTGATCCTGTAGCTGTGACTAGATTTGAATGTGCTCATTAAAAAAGAATGCTAAAACATAATGATTGCTTTCTTTGTTTACTTGACCTCAGTCTGCAGTACAAACAGAACAAAATGTTAGATGTCATTACAATCCACTCTCAAATATTACAGTATTAGCCAGACTTATCAGGGAGGAAGGGAAAAATAATAGTTTAAAATCACCCAGAAGGGAGAAAACACTCTACCATTAAAGTAAAAACCAACAAACAACAACAACTACAAGCCCAAACACCCCCCAAAAAATGCTGCTTCAGGTTTCTAAAATGCAATTTGAGTCATATTCAAGTCAGGAACTGAAGATGAAGTTAGGAAGAAGCTGCATTTTCTGCTATCAGGTGAACAGAAGGAACAATTCGACCCTCTCCATCTGAAAGCAGAGTAGTTCCTCTAAAGGCACTACCCATTCACACCAGTAATTTGTGAATCAGCTTCTGAACTAAGCAGGAGTGAATTCCATGGCTAAAAAGCCCTTCTGGGATTTTTCCAGGTGATCTGTAATTGTATCTCAAGGACCTAACTCTTCTCCTAGCCCACACATTTTCCAAGCACATAGGAGGAAGTTATGTTGGAAGTCAAAGGAGCAAATAATGCAAGAGCAAAACATTAGCGAGTAGAGTAAGAGAAGAGACACAGCTTTTGATTTGATGCAAGCAGAAATTCAAATAAAAATGGCTGTCAGCAGCAGTGAAAGTTTAGTGGTGTGGCTGCAGAGGGAGATGGAGCAGAACAAAGCAGCTGGGACAGAGAATTCTGACAGGTAAAAACACAAATTTGACACATACCCCACACCAAACACTCGCGTGCTTCTGCTTCCCTCTAATGTTTTAGGAGAAAGAATTGACACAGGTGAGGAAGACCAAGGCAGGAGGAGGAGCTTAAATGAAAAAAGGGGTTAAATGAAAAACCCTGGCAAGCAAAAGTACATGAGAAAACTGAGAGGAACAAGCAGGAAAAAAAGAAACATTTTAGTTTTAACATGTAGCAGGAAGCTTTAAATAGTTTGCCTTGTTTCCAGAGGTCTCACCACAAGAGAACTAGAAAAGGTTACATTTTTCCACTTGGATTCTGGTTAAAAAGCAGCCATGCCAGCAAGCTCAGGAACCTGCTCTTTTCCAGGCAGAGTTTGCAGAATTTAAAGGCTGAAACAAAAATCTTGAATTCTGCACTGCTGTGAAAACCAAACACTAGAGGATGAGGAAGAGAAGGCAAAAAACAGTGCTGGGAAAAAAAAAAAATCAGAAATTCCAACTTTCTTCCTAAATCAGTATATTTAAAGAACACACTCCTGGTGAAGCTCTAAAGAAACTGTGTTTCTTTACATAAAAGTGTGCCTAAATAACTAGACTGCACTAATCCCAGAAGAGATGATGTTCAGTGAAGTGGGTGGTTTTGTAGGTGCTGTTAAGTGAGTTGAGCTCTGTCTCCTCATTTGCCACATGCACAAGGTACAGAGCAGTTGTTCTCCTCTGGTGAACATTAAGAAATTATATATATATATATATATATATATAAAAGAAAAAAAATGAAATGTCATCTTCAGACCAATTCTGGAAAGAAGATGTACACTTGAGAGTGTTAAGGCAGAGGGAGACCCAAGAAACCCCCCAAAAGAATTAGAATAAAACCTCAGATTTCCAAGGTGATCCTATTCCCTTAATGGCAACACCAAGTTAAATGGCACAGGAAGAAAACCCAGAGATTTTAAAGGAGTTAAATCAGAAGGTTATGAGCAAGATCCTGCAGTTGTCTCTACATCTCTAGACTCAGCCATTAATCACTCCATTTGCAAACAACAACCCCCTCACAGGAAATCTCATGGGTTTTAAATTTTTTTTTTTTTTTTTTTTTTCAATTTAACCACAAGGATGTCTGCATGCAATCCTATTACCAAAATAAGACCATTCTGGGATTTCTACACTCTCCACTCAAGCCTACAGAGGAAGGAAAACACACAAATACACAAGGACTGCCCTTCAAAGAGTGCTGTGACTCTGGTCAGAAAGCCTCAAACAACACCACCACTGCTTATTTCACTTGCAAGAGCTTCTGGAGCTCTAAACTTCTTCGTGACTTCTACTGCAGCCACTATTTATGCAACATCACTGCTATGTGTAGAACCTGAACTGTGATTTTCAGCTGGGCTCTTCTCAGCCCCACACAGCCCGTGGATCAATCCCTACCTCCCCTCGTGGTGACAATGTCATTTCAAACTGATTTAGGGTAATCTAAATCAGGGTCCAGAGGGTTTTAGTATTTCTGACTAAAATCAGCACAATGGGAAACACTGCTGGGTTCTTTTGTATTTGTTGGGAAGGACAAATACACATTTGATTTAATTTAAAAAAGTAAAAAAAACCCCACCCTGCTCAATATGACAGTATGACACTTGACAACATGCCAAGAGATATACACTGTAATTCAGATTTTCAGCACATGTCCTCATCCTCATGCAGTTCATTTTCCTGTTCTCCTGGTGCATTTGCCAGTCCCAGGGAGCAGGCTGTGCTCATCTCTAACCCACAAAGCCCTGGTTTGTCCAATTACTCTGACCTTATCTGAATCTTGGCAAAATTAAACTTTCCCTTTTGAAAGTACTTCCTCTGAGAAGCTGACTGCAAGCCTCCTTTCAGGAACACAGATACAACTGAGCACAGTATCACTTTGAAAATCCATCAAACAAGACCTTCAGTCTGCAAACTATCACTGGTGCCAGGATCTGGCAGATCTCTATACTCAAATGTTGCATTGTGTTAACACAGCTGTATCCACACAAGCAAAATGTAAGGGGATTATGTACAAAAGAAATTCTAATTTCCATCATTCTTCTGGCTGCAGAAAGGGTTTACAGTCTTTTTTCTTTTTTAAAAATTCAAGTAATGCAAGGGCACGTTACTTGTAGAACACAAGTAAGACTTACAGTAAAAATGGTAAGTCGCTCTTTACACACTGCTGGATTTTTGGATTTTGCCATTTTATATAAAGAGTTTCAACGCTGCTTATCCAGCTTAAGGTAACAATGCTGCAACTCATTAAGGCACCAGGTAGTGCTTTTAAAGCTGCCACCAGGACAGACTGACCTTCTGGGCTGTAGAAACTCACCCAGACAGAGCCTGCAGGCTTATTTTTCCTCCCTGATTCCAGATCCTATTCGCTGGCAGCCTTTCATGAGACTAAAGGACAAAGAGGAGTTATTACTTTGAACTTGTTTTAGCACAGCACTCTCAGGAGAGGTTTTAAGTCCCATCAGATTTTGGGCAGATCCACTGTCTCACTCACAGCTGTCTACCCACTCCTTTTATCTTCAGGAAACGAAAGCATCTGAAAATCCCATCTGAAAAGGGCACAAGAACTGGGCTGGCTCTGCTCCCACCAACACGAGCAGACATGGCATCACTGTTTCCAGCACGAGCCTGCAGTCATGCAAACACTGAAGGACTCAGAAGAGCCAATCCTCGGGCTTTGCAGAGCCCTGCACGCTACCAGGAGAGCTCTGTGTGCTGCTGGTGCTGCCTCTCTGCACCCCTTCCTAAGCTGCTGCTTCCTCCCTTCCACTAAACAACCTCTCCCTGGCTTGCTCTCGTGGCATACTTTCCACATTATTGAAAAGGAATAAAACCCCAAGTCACTTCCTCTGGCACACCATTTAGTCATGGAGGATACTACCAAATCTCTTATAAGAGAATGATTGTTTGTTGATGCATTCATGTCTTGATATGCCCCTGGAAATGTCAGAGAAATACACTTAGGAAGAGATTGACTTGGATTTGGATAACCTTTCAGAAGGTTTCTATTCTTCCCAAATTCCCTGGCCTAGATACCTCACAAAAACTAGTGTTTCCTGCAGTATTTCTGTAATTTCCATTTACTATTCCTGCCAAAACCACTGAATAACAAAAATTAAAATATTCACAAGTGTCTTCAAACATCTTAAAAAGTTTAACATTGAGCTGCACTTCCTGGAAGACACAAGAAGAAGTAATTGCTTTAATTACAATATTAGCTTCACAGTCTAGAGAAACTCCAGAATTCATAGTGACACTTTAATGCAAAGGGACAGGGGGTTCAGCACCTGCATCTGTCCAGCCTGGCCTTGGACATTTCCAGGGATCCAGGGACAGCCACAGCTTCTCTGGGCACCCTCACAGGGAAGAATTTCTTGCCAATATCCAATCTAACCTAAACTTAGTCTCTGTCAGTTTGAAGCCACTTCCCCTTGTCCCACCTCAAAACATTTCTCTCGTGTGGCAAAGTATTATGTGCATCAGAGCTTGTGCTCAGTTTGCTCAGTGCTCCCAGAAAAGCTTCAGCCGATTTCCAGTAAGAGCAATTCTCTTTTTCAGAGCCAGGGGAACACAAATTCTTTTGATAGATTCTTCTTCACGTAATTCATTGAAAAGGATTGCATTTGTTTACCCAAAGCAACAACAAATGGGGGAAAAAAAAGGCAGAAAGTTCTGAAAGTTGTTTGACCTTAAGAGTAAGTATGAGACATGGATTGTGAGACAGAAAAGTGATCTTAAAAGAACTCCAAAAGCTGTGGGATTTTTTTTAACCCTAAATATCTTTTAGGCTCTTTACTAGTAAAAAAAAAAAAAAAGCAAATGTTAAATAGTTTGTACACCATGAACAATGACAAAATATAGCTTCTTTTAATTCTAATGCAGTAGCATTTTCTAGTTGTTTGTTGCATAACCAATATGCTTAACAGGTGTATTTTGTAAGAAAATATC